GCCTAGTCCAGGGGGAGGGGGGAGCTCTAGCCTGGCCACGGCTGTGGACCGCCAGCAAGGGAGCTCGAACCCCAATGGCAGCCAGGGAGCTCTGGCCCCAGGTCCGGCCAGTCAGCTCCAGACGCACACTGGTTCCAGAGGCCGGAGAACTCCAGCTCCAACCTCAATTACGGAGCCAGGTGGCTGTGCAGCTCTGGCCATGGTGCTTCGGCCCTGGCAATAGTGGGGCCGGGGAGAGTCCCAGGTGACTGAGGCAGCAGTGGGGGCAAGCTGGAGCTCTAGCCCGGTGGCAGCACAGCCACGAGAGGAGGGACGTTTCTTGGTCCAGCAAATCCCTTCTTTCGGGACCATTCAGATCCCAAGGATGAAGAACCAGCAAGGTCCAACCTGTATTTGCCTGAGAACAAATAAAGGTTGACCCCTACACCTATAAAGAGATGCTCTGAAGTTAACAGGGCTCTGCTCACATGTTTGAAAGTGCAAGATCAGGATTCCAACATACAAATTGCCTTTTCAAAGCAAATACCTATGACTGCCTTTCCATATGTGCTAAGTGACTGCAGTCCTCGATTCTAGTACAGTGCAAGTGGAACAGTTCTATGGGATGCAAACATAACTCACACAGGAGACTTTTTTTAGTAAAACAACTGGGCAGTAAAAATGTAAAATCCCATTTAATCATTTAACCGATTAAAGGAGAAGCAGGGCCCCCACCACCACTGGGCTGGAGCAGCCCCTCTACCACAGGAAGGGGCTGCACTGGCAGAACTGGAGCGGTACCTGCCTGCGGTGGGCCAGGGAGCTCTGCAGGCAGGGACTGCTCCGGCACCTCGGCCAGAGGCTGCTACAGCTGCAATGCCAGAGCAGTCCCTGCTTGGCAGGGCATCCTGGCCAGAGCAGCCCCTACTTGCAGGGCGCCCAGGCCTGCCACAAGCAGGGGTTGCTCTGGCCCAGCTGAAGCAGGCCCTGCCTGCAGCAGGTGGAGAGCTGCTCCAGGCCCCACCAGTTAACCTCAACTGATAAGCCTCACCAATTAAGGGTGAGGCTTACTGGTTAATTGGTTAAACAGGCACATCTCTACCAGGCAGTTTTCAGTAAAACAATTATTTCCTAATAAAGAAAAGGAACAATTTTACACTGGGGATTTACATCTCCAAAATGTCAATACATAATGATTTTAATAAGTAAGAACAAAGACATTTTTTTAAAAACCTTTTTGAGACAAAAGGAGAACAAAAGATGTTGTGAAGTTTCCATTGCCAAAATGGACTGGTTTTAAGAACACAGGAGTAGTTAGCAAACTGATGAATACGCTATGCTACTTACGAGGTCATTCATATTGGTTTGGCTGGCTGGGTGAATTTCCTCCAAGAACTCCAAAACATAAAACGTGTACCTATCCATAAGGTGGACTCCAATCCCAAGATCGGGCTGATGCTTAAAAACAAAATGTACATACTTAGCATGTTCTAAATCAAAAATATGATAGTAACAGAGTAAAATAGGACCATGCAAATGTCAAACCTATGTTACCTTTACTTTTAGTCAAAGTATTCAAAAAAAGATTACTAATCCTCAAAAACAAACTGTATAAATTAATCTGTACAGTGTATGTTGTCTTCACCTTTTTAGACTAAATTCTGACTAGCCCTGTCTTTGCCTGGTTGCAGCAAGTCTCTTCCTCTGCTATCCACCTGGGCAGAACTCAGGCAGGATCCTTCCACTATCACAAGACGCAGACTGGGGAAGATAGTCTTATGTGGCTCCAAGAGGTTATGACCAGCTACAGCAGATACATGAGTAGAGCCTGATTTTCAAAGAAGTTGCACACCTACTGGGGCAATGGTGCTCACTACCTTTAAAAATCAAACAGTTACAGAATAGGAGGTTTCACAAACAGCTGCTGTCATAAAAGCCTACAGTCAGAAAGATTAAGCTGAAGCCACTTGCAGGTTTAGGGAGAAGACGACTAGCGTCCCTCTTCAAATGTACTACCCATTGTATTATCATTCATATTTTCTATTCTCTATTGTTACACTGCAGAAAAAATATATTTATCATTAAGTTTCTAATTCATTATTTTATGTTCGAATTGTAAGATTTACTGAAAATTAAATTAGGGGTGTACATTAGCCTGGTGGGCAACTGACACCCCCACACTTTTGAACATCACAACAGAACACCACAAAAAACACATCCAATATTATACATTCACCCATTATACAATGCTTTAGAAGCTAAACACCCTTTATATGTTAAGAAGTTATGGGGGAGATTTTCAGAAGTGCTAAAGAAACTTAGAAGCATAAGGGCTGCTGAAAGTTAACAGGACCTGTGCTCCTAAATCCTTTGGTCACTTTTGGGGAAAGAAAAGTTACCGTACCTCCAACCCACAGGAACCCTAACCCAAGCTTTAAGCACCATACTCATAGGCAGTCTTCCCTGTAAGCTGAGTGCTTGGGTGGCCTCACAAGAGAGATTCAAGTTCTGCCCAGCTGATCAGTGCAGTGCCTATAGCACCAACATCCAGCACCATCCGTTTTGTACTGGTGGTGCACATCTTCACATTTCTCAGTGAAAGTTACAAAATTTATCTGCCCATGGCTGTAAAAAAAATAGAAGGAACCCTGCTCATAGGAATCCTAATGATAGGGCACCAAGTCCTGTCGCCTGGAATAGTAATCCTAGATACAAACACTCTGCCCACAGGAATCCTAACCCTAGATCCAAGCACCTTACCCATGGAATCTCTAACTCTAGTGCAGGGAGACCTACCTACAGGAACCCTAAACCTAGCTCCAAATATCCTATCTACAGAAACCCTGACTCAAGGGTGAAAAGCTCTATCCAGGGAAATCTGAACCCTCACTCCAAGTCCCCTATCCACAGGACCCTAACCCTACCTCCAAATACCATACCCATAAGAATCCTAACCTTAGCTCCAAGTACCCAGCTAAACTCACTTACCGAAAGAGAATCTTCTCCTACTTGGCTACTAGCCAATGCCATTATATTTGGAGAATAAAATCGTTCATACATGGATGCTCCTTGGCAGGTATCAATAATAAACAGCAATTCATTGTATCTAAAAGAAATAAAACAGCTTTCATATCTGGCATTCTATAGACCAGGGTTGGACAAGACGCGGCCCGGGGGCTGGATCCAGCCCACCTAACACTTTGATCTGGCCCATGGACTGCATCTGACCACTTTCTATTTACATCCTGCTGCATGCACCACCGAATTTCCAGGCGCTGCTCTAGACTGTATCTTCATTCACATGTTTCGGATACTTTATAATGAATAAGAAACACGTAAGATATTGAGCCAAGGTAACTCATTTCAGTGGCTGAAAATTATAATAGACTTCCTTCTCCTCTGGAAAAGAGCGCTTCTGACAGCCTAAAGAACAATAGTTATTTAATACCATTGCTGAGGTGACAATTTTTGTTGTATTTATAAACCATATTCAGAATAAAAATAATTAGTTTTATCACCTTTCACTAGAAGAGTGTGCAGTTCTGACTAGAATGAAATGGACGATTGGAAAGCTACAAACCAAATTTTATACCTCTTGATGACATATTGTATTTAATCACTAAGTAATACATTTTTACCTTCTTTTCTGCCACATTTGTTCAAAGGCATCAGCAAGTTCTACATTAGTGATTTCTTCAGAATCCTGAAATTTCAAGAAACCATTTCCACCATGACCTTGTAGAAAAATTCACAAGTTAAAAAAGTATGTATGTTAAAGATAAGAGTACAATACATACAAATATGCTTGCTAAAAGAAACAGTTAAATGCAATATCTCTCTCTCTTTGGTGTGGGATGACAAATCACAATACTAGGGTAATAAGGACAATAGATGTGCATCGTTTAATCTGGAATACATCTTATTCATTCAGAAATTGCTAGATATTGCTTTAAGAATGCTTCATGGATTATCTATACAAAACCCCTTCACATAATAATGACTTTTTTTTGGTAACTTCCAGAGTCATTACAAACTTGGCTCTCTATACCATATGCCCAGGGAAATGTGGAGTATAAGACCCATATTTTTAAGTGGAGTAGAAATCTTAGTTATCAGAATCCTTCATGAATTGGTTTTAATATTACTAATAATGGATGTCTTGCTCAAAGTAATGTGAATCCATAATAACCATGTATTTGTTCTACTAGTTCTTCAGTATTATTTCGCATCCTCATGAGATTTATTTTCTCTACTAAACAGCAAAACCAATAAATTCCTGTAATTACCAGTCATATATATTAGAATATTGCTTCTGTCATCAGAAAGTAGGCGTTTGGATCGAGGTGTGCTTGGTGGGATTCTTCCTGTTAATACACGCAAAAAATTCTCCACGGTAACCTACAAATATGAAAATGAAGTAATTTCTAAACAACATAAGGGATATCTATTGAGCATTAATAGACTGGGTTCCATAAAATAATGACAAACTATGGTTTTACTGTGCGACTTCTCACTGGTAAGAGTTCTTTTTATTGCCCCATTAAAATCAACCTGTTGTTTTACTATATTTGAAAACTATTTCACTGAATACACATGTACAGCCATCACAGAGTTTTACTGTGTCCTCATTGATTTGAACACCTGTCACAGTATACAGGCAGTCCCCGACTTACGCGGATCCGACTTACGTCGGATCCGCACTTACGAACGGGGCTTTCTCGCCCCGGAGGTCGAGGTAGCGGATTGCTACCTGCGAGCTCCGGGGCGAGAAAGCCCCATTCATAAGCTGCTCCGGTGCCCCTGGTCTGCTGGAGACCGTCTCCAGCA